TGAAGCCGGTAGCGCTCAGGCAGCCCTTTTCGCGTGGCTGGGAGTGGGAGGGAGGAGGGGGCGGAGTTAGGGCGGGGAATGGGCGGAGTTGGGGCGGGACTGGGAAATGGGCGGGGTCAGGGCCCCATGGAGGGTCCTCTTTTTTTATTTGTTAACCCTACAGGAGCACCCAAGAATCACCACTGGACTGGAACTTTGCTCAGGACTCCTGAACTCTGTGTGCAGACACATTGCTCGGTGTCTGACCTTCCAGACTGTACTACCACTGGGCCTGTGGGGCCTTGGCTGGAGGCAGCCCTATTCTACTGCTCCCCCTATATTTCCCCTTGTTGTTTTTCTCCTCTCATCCCTCTGTAAATAAATATTTCCCTTTGTTATATCCATTGTGCTTTTCCTGTGGGTGGGTGTGTTCACTCTGGAGGGTTTGGAACAGGTGCCCCTGGGGTGGAAGGGATTTCTCCTGCTGCATTCCTGCGCGCGCCCTGTCTTGGCCAGAGCTGTCTGCAGAGCAGACTCCATCTTGGCCACGAGGGCGCTAAAGTTACATATGTTAAAGGTTGCAACCATATATGATTTAGCTCATCACCACCTATCTAGGGGAAAGGTCTCAAACATATGTACACTAACTTTGCCTTAGCTCAACATACAGGATGTGGCCAGTAGGTCCCTTGCGTTACAGCCAAAAAGACTCTAATATAAATCTATAAACCTATTATAACCTATTATAATAAAACAAATAGTCAAACCCATAAGAAAATAAGAAATCCATAAGAAAATATATATAGGCAAACAAGCGGGCTAGCCCTACAGGCTATAATACCCAGTGTTCATCACAACTTTCTACCCCTGAACTAGGAGATAGGGAAAGACAGAGGGTGGGGAAAGGTGAGAGGTACCAAATTGTGGTGGAAATGCCTCTATCCATCAGAATTTACCAGCCCTGGACCAAAGGATGGAGGAAGGCAGAGGTGGGGAAACTATAATAAATGAACCCCATCCATCACAGTCTGTTACCCCTGGACCAGAAAGTGGGGAAAGGTGAGAGGTACCAAATTGTGGTGGGAATGCCTCCATCCATCACAACTTACTGCCCTTGGACTGTAGGATGGGGAAAAGCAGAAGCAGCAAATTGTGACAGGGCAGAAAAGGAGAGGATACACAGATGTTAATAATTGATACCAGAGGCAAATTGTGCAGCCAAAGTTACACTGGCAAGGTGAGGAGCAGCAGGTAGCCCTGTGGGGAAACGGCGAGAGAACTGGAGGATTTTTTCCTACAGCCCAGTGATGGGTTAATTTGACTCTACAAATAACCAGATGAACCTGGTGGCATAGTAATGACAACTCCATGGCCTGAACTAAGGGAGCAGACCTTGCAGCTCAGCTCAGGGCTAGAAGACAGTGAACATGATGTGGAGAAAAGAGAACACATCTTACAAACTGCTCCCTGGGTCAATCGCTTACCAACGTGAATCCCACCCACAGTCAGTGTCACCGGGAAACATCTCCCCTGCCTCTCTGGGTTCTGGGCAGCCTATGTAGGACCAGGAACCCATCACCGCCATGTCCCAAATCTCTACAGACATTCAATCTTGATGTCTTCTCTCTGCCCACTCATTGACATGGTGCCTTCTATGCATAATGCCTCCTTAATGCTGAGAGGAGCTGCCTGCTCCTAGGGAATGCGGTTCCCCGGAGAGGGAGGGTCTGGGGCAGTGGGCTGCAATGCAATCATTTGTATTTATTTGATTAATTTTCATAAAGAAAGAAACAATAATCCTGTTTATTTATTTATTTGATTGATTAATGTGCATAAAGAAAGCAACAGAAATACAATAAAAATATAAAAAGGAAAATGACTGACAGCGTGACTGAATTACCAAACACTGCATGTCTCACAGGACAGCCAATAACATTATTCACTCACACAACTTTTCAAAGCGGCCACATTAGACCTGGCAAAATCAGACACTATTACATAGACAGAACTAGGGTGACCCGATGACAAGAACAAAATATCGGGACACATGGGGGGGCAGGGCCCAAGCAAAAAAATAAATAAGAGCTGGAGCGCTGCCGAAGCAAAAAAAAGAAGTGCCCCGAGCCAAAATAGTGGGACAAATGGTGTCCTGACCATACATCCGTCGGGACACGGGACAAACCACTGAATATCAGGACAGTCCCGATTTTATCGGGACGTCTGGTCACCCTAGACAGAACATGCTGGAGGTAACCAGGCCCGACAATAGCAATTCCGGGCCCCAGGGCAGAACAGTAAGTGCACCCCTAGAAAGGGAAGGCTGAGGTTTACGATGCTACTTTTTATCCTTCAGATAACACATTAGAACCCACTATGGGTAAGTTGTGGTGTTGCTTCATCTAGTTAACTTTTTATCTTAATTTTTATTTAAAAAATACATCTCACTCTCATCCGCCTTTTAAATCACCGGGCCCCTGGACAATTGACCCTTCCACCCCCACCCTGCCGGCGGGCCTGGGGATGAGGATACAATAAATAATAACAATGACAGACACACACGGGCCAAACCCAGTCTTGTCGCTGTCGCTAGGACCCAGGAGGCGCCAGGCAGAGTGATTCCCGGGGTCACTCCGCCTGGCAGCAGGAAGTGAATTGCGGTCGCTGCAGTGACTCTGTTGCGGTGCAACCCACGTTCCTTGCGAGACTCCAGGGCCTCGGCTGCTGCCGCTGAGGACCCCAGAGCCCTGGCTGCAGGCGTGGGAGGAACATTCCCGCTGCTCCCCGAGAGACTCTCCCAGTGCAGAGACCCCAGCCTGTCCCGCTCCCCCTTACTGGGACCCAGAGCCCTGCTCCCAGGCAGAGCCCCACGTGGAGAGAAGGTTAGACCTGCTCCCCCTCCCCGTCCCCTGGGAGAGACGCTCCCGGTGCAGCCTGTCTGCAGGGGTAGGGGGATGCCCCAGGCTGCTCCCAGCTGGGCTGGCTGCGATTCCCTGCATTGGGCAGAGGAACGGTGCCTGCCAGCTCCCATGGTTTGCAGTGAGTTGGAGGGATCGATTGCGGGTGGGAGCGGGAATGGGGCTGAAGAGAGGCAGGGGGCTCTGAGAGCCAGAGGGCATTGAGGGGAGAACAGAGATGCGTGAGGGGCAGGAGGGGGGAGAACAGGGATGTGTGAGGTGACAGGAGGGGGTGAACGGGGATGCAGGGGGCGGGATGGGGCTATGGGGATGTAGGGAGGCTGAGGGAATAATTAGGGGGCAGGGGGCGAATTCTGGGGCTCAGGGGAACAGAGCTGGAATAGAGGGAAACTCTGAGTGGGGGGATAAAAAGAAGGAAAAGGGGGGATGTGAGGAGAAAGGGCTGTGGGGTGGCTGGAGGGAGAATATGAGAGCAAGCGGAGACTGGCTGGGGAAGGGAGAGCCGGAGAGTAGGAGATCGGAGAGGGATGGTGAGAGATACAATGGCAGCTCCCCCAGCCCATGGGGTAGGAGGCTGCCTTGCCCAGCAGCCAGTGGGGAATCTTTTTCTCTAGACATGGTCAAACAAGTGGTGGGGGCAGGGGCAGCGGGCTTTCCCCTAAGGGCTCAGAATTTACAAGGCAAATATCCCCCCCTCCCCCCCCCACACCCTCTGCTCCTAATTTAGTCTTGTTTTTTTTTTTTAACTAATCTCATTGTTTGGGGGGGGTCTGACTCCTGAATGATAAATGTTTGGAGCTGACAGGACTGAACAGTGTCCTGCTCTGATTTCTGTGTCAAACCAGAGTCATTGCTAGCAACAATAGGCAAGGAATCCAACTGGTATTTGTTTTGGTTTGATTCAGGTTCAGTTCCATTCAATAGGTTCAGTTTCTTTTCTGGTTCAAGCCACCCAAAGAAACAAAAATAGAAGTTCAGCTACCAGTTTAAATCCTATTTCAATCTCAGTGGAGGTAAATCCATGAAAGAGAGCTGCAACTTAAAATGCAAACTCTTTAGATTTTTTATTATTTATTTATTTATTTTATAATTTTAACTTTACATGAGTTTTCCTAACATTTTTGTGTTGTCAAATATACATGATTATTTTTTCTTAAACAATGTGTTTGAGAAACCCAAAATAACATATTTAAACATCTTCTTTGTCATATTGGACCTCTGCAGTGAAAGGATACATCTGAAGTCTTTACATTTTCTTTTGATGCTCACTTGTGTTGCTGGAACTGCCAGTACAATTTTTGCTAGTTGATTTAGCATGGCATGGCATTTTTCGGATGTTCCCAGTAGTTTGGCATGTTATCTTTCTTATGGAGATGTGGTCCATCTGTGAATGAATCAGGAATTGGCCCAATCCTTTTTTGGGGCTTTCCTTCATCCAGATATCGCTTTCTTTTTGGAGATTTCACAAGCTTTCAGAAGAAGTTCCAATTCATCTTTCAATTTCAGACGTGTCTGACATTCATTCTGTGACATCATTATTTGTGATTCAAACATTTCCATCTTCATCCATGTTATGGTGTAATTTAAATTGTGCCTTGACTTTGTCCTGTGCTGACAGTGGGGACTGATATCTAGCATCAAGATATATGTATGAGAGAAACAAGTCTATCTGGGGTGGGGGGCTGGAGGCACGTATCAGACAGTGCCCTGGGTGGCTGGGAGTGGGCCCTGCAGCTGGCTTCAGTGGGGAAGCAAGTTTGGAGCATGAACCCTGCCTCAAGTGGAGCAACTGGAGGGAGGAGGCTTGTCTACCAGGAGAAGGTTGAGGAGCCATTACCTTTGCCCTTCGACTTGAACAGTTATGAACTTCAGGGCCCAGGGAGCATCCCCCTCTTCTCTCCCCAGGGAGGCTTCTCAGAGGTGGCTCAACTACCTCTGGCCCCTCTTCTGCCTCCGATGGTGTGCAGGCAGCTCCCAAGCTTCCCCTCTCCCTCCCTGCTCTGGTGGTCTGTTCCCTTTCTCTTCTCATTCTCTTCTCACTGTCCTGGGGCAGGCCGTTCTGGGGCAATCACCAGCCTATTGGCTAGTTTGTTGTGTTCTCTTAAATGAAACTAAATTCCCTGTAGGGATTTTTTTGTTTTTGATTTTTTTAAATAATGAGCTTAAAAATGCTGAATCTTTATTTTAACTGGTAACACCACTTCTTTTTGTTCAGTTCCATTGAGGTTGAGTTGGTAAAACAAATTTATGGTTGAGATTCAGTTCCAGTTAATACATGAAATACCAGTTTGAATTGGTTCTCTGATTCCACTATGAGTCCAGATGGGCATATGAGATCAACATTGGCCTGACTGTCCCTGGGGGCTGCAGGGGCAGCACAGGATGGTTCTGGTAATTGCTAAGGCCAAAGAGGTCAGTGTCAGTCTCTCTCTGTGCTCAGGATACTGGAACCCTAGAGCTAGCTGGGCTTTCTGGGACAGATGCTGCTGCCTCCATTGTGATCTGGGAGCCCAGGCTGAGCAGCCGCTGCTGCCAAGGGGGATCTATGCTGGGACACCCATCACTAAGGCCCCCTCTGTGCCCAGCCAAGGGGGGACTTCTTCCTGTGACTGGAACTATCACCCTGGGGCAGCCCAGGACTTTGCTGGCATCAGCTCCTGAGCCAGAGACTGCAGGTGATGAAATTGACCTCTGGGGGTAAGTGCAGGGGGCAAGCAAGAAAGTGACTCTGCACAAATGGCCCCTCGCCACCCCATCTCTGCTCCGGGGTGTCTGCGAGTCCCAGAGCTGCTGCCCCCAACACACCCAGGCTCACACCCCTGTTAGCAGTGGCAGTAGCTACTGGAGAGGAAGCACCCACAGGAATGGCAGGACAGTAACCAGCTCTTCCATGTGGAAGGGAGAGCGGAGAGACTGAAAGGGGCAGCAGAAGCAATAAGTGAGGAGGGAGGTTCAAACCCAGTTTCCAACCCAGATTGACTTTCCTGGGACAAGGTGAGGAGCAGAGAGAGGAAATGCCAGTTCCTGCCTCTGCCTAGTCCCCATGCTGCTGGGGGAATGTGCTGTCCTGGGGACAGTGTTGGGTGGGATCCCCCAAACTGGAGCTTTTGATTCTGCTCTTTTCTAGCATTTGGCTCAGAGACTCTGTTCCTTGGGGGGTTTTAAAGTGTCTCGTGGATTTAGTCCTGGTGGGAGGAGTCAGGTCTGTGTTGTATTAATGTAACTGAGGGTTTTCCCAGCATGGCGGAGTCTTTAGAGTGTCTGTCTGCAAGGAACGAGCCTGGGGGGAATTGGGGTGTGAAATGGACTAATGCTAATTCAGGAAATTCCCCAATTGCCCTTCTGACCCTGACAGGCTGCAGAACAACGACCCTATTTTGCTCCAGATCATCCCTACTTCCTAGGGGCCGAGGAAGGGAAATGGCTGTGGTGGATCCAGCTCAGGTAGGGGATTTTGTGGGGAGCTGTTGGGGAGGGTTGTTTTAGATGGGGAGGGGCAGGAAATACACAGGGTGAGGCAGGGAGAGGGACAGGGTGTGATAATCCTGCTGGGACATGCTCAGCCTAGGGCCTGAGGGGCGGGGTGAAGAGTCCCCCATTTCTGAAACAGGAAACAGCCCCCTGGCCAGGGCTGGGAAAACAGGCCAGAGTGCTGGAGCCTGAACCCATCGGCAGAGATTGCGATGAAATACAAAGGGAAGGTGCTGGGATTCCTGTCCCCTGTGTGGAGGTCTGCTTCCCATGTCAGCCTGTGCCTAGTAGGTGTGTGGCAAATGAGAAAACCCTGCCCTCCTCTGCTGGGAGGGCCAAGGAGCCCTCACCTTCTCTCTGTTCCCTGCAGCCTCCTGGCCACTATGAGCAGGGTGGGTGTAGTATTCTCCTCTCGCCCTCCCAGAGCTGTCGTCTCATTGTGCTTCTTCCCCCATGAATAGTGGGATTGTGGCTGGGGCAGCAGGTACTGAGTGGGGAGCACCTTTTTTTTCAGATGCCAGTGACCTTTGAGGAGGTGGCTGTGTATTTCACCGAGAGGCAGGGGGCTCTGCTGGACCCTGATCAGAGAGCACTCTACAAGGACGTCATGCAGGCGAATTATGAGATTGTGACTTCGCTGGGTAAGGATTCTTATTCCCTCAGCTATTTGAAGCCATGGGGCCTGCATTTCTGCATCTGGTCAGGTTCTTCCCTGGTCAGTTACATTAGAGGGGAATGGGTCACATAGTCCACAGCTCCAGTGTGTGAGAGAGCCGTTCACCTCCAAACCCCCTATAATGGGATAGGGAAGTCATGAACCTTATGGACATGTTAATTCATCCCCATCCCTTCAGCTTTCACAGGGGCAGGAACAATGAGTTAACCTATCTGCATTAATTCTCACTCACACACAAGATCTCTATACACCTCCCTTCCTGGGACTAGCTCCATCTGTGGGGAGGGCTCTGGATGCTTAGACGTATGCAGGGGTATAACACCAGAGCTGTGTGTGCCTCAGCAAGTCCCCCAGACCACACATCCTGAAAACTCCTAGTGAGGGTTTTACAACTCCCCCTCCCCCAGACATCGGCCTCTCCCAAGGAGGCTCAATGATCATGTTCCCATTTGTTCAGACCCCACAGCCCCCCAGCAAATCATGGGGTCAGTTTAAACTCAAGATGTGCCCTTTGTGACAGATACCCCACCATTCCTCAGTGCAGTCTGATCATACCTGATTTCACCCCCTGAGCAGGACTCCCCATTCCCAAACCTGACTTGATCACCCGGCTGGAAGCAGGGGAAGAGCCGTGGGTCCCAGATCACCCAGCCTCCGAGGAAAGGAAGTTCTCAAGAGGCACCCGCACAGGTGAGACGTCTATAAAACTATATGGCAAGTGAAGGAAAAAGCTGAAAATCCGAGCCCCCTCAGTTCTGCCTCATCTCACCCAGGTCAGGCCGTGGTCAGCAGGTGTCAGGTCATCATGGCAGATACAGCTCATGGATTCCCACCCACCTTGTTAGCTGTCAGGAGTTTTTTCCATGACTTCACTTCCCTGTGAATGTTTGGATGGGATTTGGGAGCAGAATCCAAATTCTCAGTCTCCCCAACAGTTACTGAGTTGTGTTTTCCCTCTTTGCTATTCCCCTTTCTGTCCTTTGTACTAACCCAGGCAATGACTCCTGCCTATATTCTCTCTCTCCCCCAGCAGGTGATGAGACAATGAATGAGAACGAGGATGGGAATCCACTGCAGGAATGTCCTGAACAAGTGGAACTGCAGGGGACCTTATTGAAACAAGGTGAAGGGAATTTTTCCCAGTGCTTGGAACAGAGAAAAGCCTGGAGTAATTGGCACAGGTTAGAGAGGAAGCTGGGAAACTGCCAAAGGAATAAAGTGTATGAATCTATTGGATATGGGGGAGGAGGCAAGGATCCCGAAGAAACCACAGTTCAGTGGACAAATGAGAACGAAAAGAACCCCTATAAATGCTTGGACTGTGGGAAAAGCTTCAGTCATCGCTCAAATCTGACTAGACATGGGAGAATCCACACTGGAGAGAGACTTTATAAATGCTTAGACTGCGGGAAAAGCTTCAGTCGGAGCTCAAACCTTATTAGCCATAGGATAATCCACACTGGAGAAAAACCCTATAAATGCTTGGACTGTGGGAAAAGCTTCAGTCAGCGCTCAGGCCTTATTAACCATGGCAGAATCCACACTGGAGAGAACCCCTATAAATGCTTGGACTGTGGGAAAAGCTTCAGTCATCGCTCAAATCTTATTAGACATGGGAGAATCCACATGGGAGAGAGACTTTATAAATGCTTGGACTGTGGGAAAAGCTTCAGTCGGAGCGCAAATCTTATTAGCCATAGGATAATCCACACTGGAGAGAAACCCTATAAATGCTTGGACTGTGGGAAGAGCTTCAGTCGGAGCTCAAATCTTATTAGCCATAGGATAATCCACACTGGAGAGAAACCCTTTAAATGCTTGGACTGTGGGAAGAGCTTCAGTCAGCGCTCAGGCCTCATTAGCCATGGCAGAATCCACATGGGAGAGAACCCCTATAAATGCTTAGACTGTGGGAAAAACTTTAGTCGAAGCTCAAATCTTATTAGCCATAAAATAATCCACACTGGAGAGAAACCCTATAAATGCTTGGACTGTGGGAAGAGCTTCAGTCAGCGTTCAGGCCTTATTAACCATGGCAGAATCCACACGAGCAAGAACTCCTATAAATGCGACTGTGGGAAGAGCTTCAGTCAGTGCTCAGGCCTTATTAGCCATGAGAGAACCCACACAGGAGAGAGACCCTATAAATGCTTGGACTGTTGGAAAAGCTTCAGTCGGAGCTCAAATCTTACTGCTCATAGGAGACTGCACACGGGAGAGAGACCCTATAAGTGTTTGGACTGTGGGAAAAGCTTCAGTCGGAGGGCACATCTTATTAGACACGGGAGACTCCACACTGGTGAGAAACCCTATAAATCCGTGATTCTCAAACTTTAACAACCCGAGGACCCCCCTTTTGATTTAAAAATTTTCATGGACCCCTCCTCCCCCCAAGCCCACCACTCAGCCACAGGCCCCGTCCCCACTCCACCCCTTCTTCCAAGCCCCCACCCCGCCCCTCCTCTTCCCTGCCTCTTTCTGTCCCCTCCCCCAAACGCGCCCCATCCCCACTTCTCCCTCTCCCGCCCAGTGCCTCCTGCACACCACTGAACAGCTGTTTTGCGGTGTGCAGGAGGCACTGGGAGGGAGGGGGAGGAGTTGATCAGCGGGGCCGGCGGCCCCGGACATGACTCGTTGACCCACTGGAGTACCCTTGCGGACCCCTGGGGCCCAGTTTGAGAAACCCTGCTATAAATGCCTGTACTTCAGGAAGAGCTTCAGTATTGCTCAAGTCTTAATTAACCATGAGAGAAACCATATAGGAGAGAGACCCTATAAATGCTTGGACTGAGATAAAAGCTTCATTCAGCGCTCAGGCCTTATTAACCATGGGAGAAGCCACATGGGGGAGAGACCCTAAAAATGCCTGCAGTGTGAGAAAAGTTTCAATGCACCATCAGCCCTTATTATACATCAGAGAACCCACACAGGAGAAAATTCCTATAAATACTTGGATTGTGGGAAAAGCTTTAATCATTTCATGTCTGAGAACTCACACAGGAGATAAAACCTGTAAGTGCCTGCATTGTGGGAAAAGCTTCAGTGAGAGCTCAAATCTTATACATCAGACAATCCACATGAGAGAAATCCCATAAATGCTTAGATGATGGGAAAAGCTTCAGTCCTAGATCATACGTTACTAAACATTTCAAAATCCACATGGCACAGTATCTATAAATGCATCGACTGTGGAAAAAAAATAATTTGAAGATCACATCAGACAATCCACATGGGAGAGAAAATCCATAAATACTTGGATTGTGGAACTAGCTTCAATAACTTCAGCAAAAGAGTCATCTGAACTGACACATTAGTCCCCATCCAATAATTCACAGAAGAAAGAGTTGAATGTGTGGGGAAGCTTCATTTCATGCTCACACAGCATCAAGCATCAGCAAATTCACAGAGGGAAGAGGCCTCTCAGATATCCTTAGCATGGAAAAAAGGTTCAGTTGGAGTTACCACCACATTGGGCATCAGAGACTCCTCCACATAGGAGAGAAATTCTCTCAGTGCCATGACTAGGACTGGACGTAGTAAAAACTCCATTTCCTAATTCCCACACACAGTGGCATTTGACTCCCAGGTAACCAGCTGCCCATCTCTGGGGTCAGGTTCCAGCAGCAGCTGACCCTGAGCTGCTCAGGGACCCTCTGGCTTTGCCTAGTCTAAGCTAACCCCAGGCAGAGGTGGAGAAGTCCTTATCAGCCCCTCCTCCCTGCTGCAGTCCTGGCTGCTGAACTGATGGGCCTTTCTGCCTCCTGCTCACCCGCTGTGGGAAGGGAGAGAGAAACTCCTCCAGAAGCTCCCTCTGCCTGAATTAAGTTATACCCTCTCCCTTCCCCGACATGATGCCCCTCCCATGGAGACTAGGAGAGGGATACTTAGGCCAGGCCCTAAATTCACTATGGACACCTGTCCCCATCCCCATTTTCCTGCAGCCCCGGGGCTGGTTTCCCCCACTTACCTGGAGCTGGTACCTGGAGAGTGAGTAACCCTGGGGCTGACAACTCTTCCCCTCCCTAAATCCCCGAAGGTGCTGGGTTCCAGGGATTTAAATATGAAGGGACCAGGAGGGATGGGTTTTGGGGAGGAAACTGGGGGATTGAATGGTTGGGTCTGGTGGATGTGGGAAGCAGAAGGTGTTGGGTGCCAGGCAGATCGTATGTTAGGGATCATGGGATAAGAGAGGAGAATACGGGGAAGAGAGGTGCTGCTTCTTATCACTCACCCCCTCTGCCCCTTTTCCCTGCCCCCTTTGCATTTAGAAAGCACCAATAGCTTACTTTGACAGGATATTGCACAGCTTTATTGAGGACTTAAGGAGACAAAAGATCTTTTGCAAGAAGAGTCCTTTTTTATTTTATTTAACCTTTCTTTTCCCTTTGTCATGAGATTTTTGTGTTGTGTGAACAATGAAAACTATCAATATCTCTCAGCACAAACACCAAGGGTGAGTGCTAGATTCATACTCCAAGAGGCCGAGACTGAACAGGGTATGGAGTTGCTACCTGATCTCTACAGGGATGTGAGATAGAGTCAGGAGGGGGTGAGGGGAACAGAGCTGGGAAACTGCAGACTTTTCTCTTGAGAGCCAGACAGCTGAGGCTGAGAACTGTGAACTTGCTGCACCAATACCAGAGAGAGACAGGAATTGCCCTGTGAGTACTGAGTGAAGCCATCCCTGAAATCTAAAGCATTACAAATGATGCCCAAAGAGGAGTGATGAGGGGAGGATGCAGGATCTCCAGATTACTGAGAGGATGGGTCTGGGCAGAGACAAGAAGGAGAAAAGTAAACAGGCCTGGGCTAGCCTTAAAGCCAGGCTAACCCCCATCATAGAGGCCAGAGGGAAACAAGGAGCATGACAGCCCAGCTGGTCACTCCCTCCCCATCTATCAGTGTATCCTGTGTGGGGATGATAGATATTGTCTTCCCCACACTGTACCCCTCTAATCTCAGCTCCTTGGATTCCCTGCTCTCGGAGTGTTTGCTTTGTGCCTGGGTCCCAGCATGTCTCCTGGATTCTCTGCACTTTTCTGCCAGTTTATAAATGTTGCTCTACTGCTGGTGCATGAGGGATTTGGGTGCAACAATGTGCTGGCCTGGGGATGAAAAGTACCATGCTGAACTGGGCAGGGGATGGGGAAAGGAGTCTGTCTTTGTTTGTCCTTTGGAATAATAAAGTCAAATTTATTTTCTCACACTCTGTGTCCTTTGTTGTGCATTAAATACCCACCAAATTCAGAGGCAGGTTAATAGTAAAAGCAATGCAAACATGGTCTGGTATGGAAATGCAGTGAGGTCACCCATAAAACCTCACCTCTACCCTGTCGGAGGCTCAGCTGCAAGTAGTATACTCTAAAATTTATTTCTTATTTCTATATCTATATTGGTGGTGGGCTGCATATGTGGCCCACAGTGTGTTACCTGGGCCGCAGGGGCCGGGTGGTTGGGCAGTGATAGCCCCAACCCTTGCTGCGCTGGGGTGGCTGGCTTCCTGCCATGGACTCCACACGGCCAACCAGCTTCCTCAGAACCCGTGGGGCCAGATGGCTGCCCCAGCCCCCGCCACACTGGGTGGGCCAGTTGCCCTGGTGCTTGGAGCTTGCAGTGCTGGGCGGCTGCGCTGGGTCCCGATCCTGCAGGGCTGGCCAGGAGTCCTGGACCCCCTGCGGCCTGCCGGAAGCCCCAGACCGCAGACCCTGTGGGGCCCGCCAGCAGCCCTGACCCCAGACTCCCACTCCCCAGGGCAGGCCAGCAGCCCCGACCCGGACCCTGACCCCTCTGCACTGGGCAGTGGGGCAGCTCGGACACCCCCATGCTGGGCAGCTGGGAACCCAGGACCCCGGGCACGTAGGCGGCCTTTAGCACACAGCTGAGCTGAGAACCCCTGATATTTATATATATCAGAATCGCTTTAGCCATATTATCTATCTATCTAATATGGCTAAAGTGATTCTGATCTCTGAGCTGTGTTTCTGACCAAGACCCCACCTCGTTCAACCTTACCACCTGCCTAATTCTAGCTCAGACCCATTTAAATCAGTGGGGCTATTGGCAGTAGTACAATTAAACATGTGACTAAGATTTTGCAGGACTGGAAGTATAGATTGCTAGGTTTGGGAGTCTCTCTCTGTTGATACTCGGCCTGTTCCTCATACCACAACTTTCCCCAAATTCATTCTTCTCTGGTTACAAAATAATTGTATCTTAGGCCTGATCCACACTAACCCCCACTTCGACTAAGGTACGCAAATTCGTAGCTGAATTCGAAGTACCTTAGTTCGAACTTACCGCGGGTCCAGACGTGGCAGGCAGGCTCCCCCATCGATGCCGTATACTCCTCTCGCCGAGCTGGAGTACCGGCGTCGACGGCAAGCACTTCTGGGATCGATCTGGGATCGATTTATCGCGTCTAGACAAGACACGATAAATCGATCCCAGAAGATCGATTGCTTACCGCCGGACCCGGAGGTAAGTGTAGACCTACCCTTAGTGAACACCATGGTTATTTGTAATACAGCAGCAGCCAGAAGCTCCACTGAAGACAAAGTCTATATTGTGCTAGGTGCTGTATATACCCATCGTGAGAGACAGCTCCCAAGGAAAAGAGTTTACAGTCTCAATATGCAGAATAGCCAACGTAATGATTTTATAAATGTGAGGAGTGACCCTGAAATCTAAAGGGCTATGAGTGATGCCCCAAGAGGAATGATATGGGGAGGGGGCAGCATCTCCCGATTGCTGACAGAATGAGGCTCTGCACCTAAAGCAATTCAAACCTAATTCAACTTCTGTTGTCAGGTTTCAGTGGTAGCTGTGTTAGTCCATATCAGCAAAAAAACCGAGGAGTCCTTGTGGCACCTTAAAGACTAACAAATTTATTTGGGCATAAGCTTTCGTGGGCTAGACCCCATTTCATCAGATGTATGAAGTAAAAGATACAGGAGCAGGTATAAATACATGAAAGGACGGGGGTTGCTTTACCAAGTATTAGGTCAGTCTAACAAGATAAAACAATGAACAGCAGGATACCAAAGGAGGAAAAAAAACTTTTGAAGTGGTAAGAGAGTGGCCCATTACAAACAGTTGACAAGAAGGTGTGAGTAACGGTAGGGAGAAATTAGTATTGGGGAAATTCAGTTTAGGTTTTGTAATGACCCAACCACTCCCAGTCTTTATTCAGGCCTAATCTGTGGTATCTAGTTTGCAAATTAATTCCAGTTGTGTGTGACAAACACAGATTGTTCTCCACAATTACAGCACTTGCTCCTAGAGTGTTGAACACATTTTCTGAGAAAAGTCAATCTGTTACAGGCTTTAGCAATAATCATTAACATTGGGTATGTTCAGGCATTTAGCACCGACTGTCAGATGCTGCCATGGAGTGATACCATTCAAAGCCCCATACTGTTCTGATGAAGGTATTTTAGTGCTTATGGA